ATTTTAGGTAAGCTACTGAGAAAAATAATCGAGTTTAACTTTGGTTGGTATTATTATTTAGTTAAAATATTTTTTCTTATGGGAACATGCTGTTATATTTTAAATTGTTCTTTTAAAACATTTCTATTATAATACTTGAGGTACCATTTTTTTGTTGTATCATATTTCTTAGTTTTTTAAAAAAATTATTATGTGGAAAATTTTACATATATAAAGTAAACAGAAACAGGTGTGGTACTCAGGTAATCCCAGAAGCTCAGAAGGCTGAGGCAGGAAGATCATAAATTCAAAACCAGCCTCAACAACTTAGTGAGGCCCTAAGCAACTTAGTGAGACCCTATCTCTAAATAAAAAATAAAAAGGGCTGGAGATGTGGCTCAGTGGTTGAGCAGCTACTGTTCAATTCTTAGCATGTATGTATGAATGAATAAGTCAGTAAATAAATAAATCAGAAAAAAACAATATAACAAATCTTTATGTAGCCATATCTAGCTTCAACAGATGTTAATTCTTGACTAAAATTTTTCATCATATTTCCCCATTTTCTTTCCTTTCTTGTGAAGCCAAGCAAATCTCAGACATACTATTTCCTTATAATATATCAGTATGTTATTCTAAAAGATAAAAATACTTTTAAAAGACTTAATTTCATTGTTATACCCCAAACTAAAAGTTAATAATTCCATAATATTATTGAACATAAAAGTCCTCTTTTCACATTTTGTTTGAATCAAGGTCCAGAAAATACTCTTTATGATTCCCTAATATGTATTTTAATGACTCTTAACATATAAGTATTCCTCTTTAGTCAGCTTTTCACATATTTACAGTTACAACTTAGAGGAGGAAAGATTCATTTTGGCCCCTGGTTTCAGAGGATTTCATTCCTGGTAGGCTGGCCTCATGGAAGACACACACATCATGGTGGAAGAGTATTGAAGAGGAAAGCTTCTCAGCTCAGGGCAGCTGGACAGATATGGTCCCCAAGGCCAGACCCCCAGGAGGCTGCATCCTTCAAACATGCTCTGTATGCCCACAGTGACCACCCTGAAGGCCATTCAAAGTATTAATCTATCAAATGAATTAATCCACTGATAATACTACAATTCTCAAGATCAAGTCATTTCCTGAAAGCCCCACTTCTGACCCTTGTGGCATTTGAAGGCTGTGTTTTCAACATCTGAGCTTTGGGGGCATTCCACATCCAAACTGTAACACCTTTATATTCTTGAGGTTTATTTATTGAAGAAACTGGTTTGGCCTGTGGAATTTCCTACAGCAAGGTCATGCTGATCACCTCTGTAGTAATTTAACATGTCCTTCTGTCCTGTGTTGTGTGTGTGTGTGTGTTTGAAACAAAGTTAGAAAGATGTAGAGGTGTAACCAAATTTGGGTACATCTTCYTCCTTTTTCTTTCTCCCCTCTCCCTGCCCCTTTCTTCCTCTTCTTTCTTTTGTTTCATTCTTCGCTTCCCTTCTCCTTACTTCCTGCCACAGGGTGGTATTTCTTCTTCACAGAGGAGACATACAATATGTAGTTGTTTTTCTTTGATTGATGCTAGTTGTTAAGCCTAGATACCTTCATTCATTAGGATTGCAAACTATGATATGTTGTTAATTTTATCTTTGGTTATTTTCTGAAATATTTTCCTGAAAACCTACTTTCTTTTAATGTTTGTTTACAAAATTGTGTGGTTTGCAAAAAAGAAAATTGGGTGTCCTTGATTCTTTTGCAGATTCTGAGTTTCTTCTTCTTCTTCTTCTTCTTCTTCTTCTTCTTCTTCTTCTTCTTCTTATTATTATTATTATTATTATTATTATTAATGTATGGGTGGAATGCATTACAAATTCTTATTACACATCTAGAGTACAATTTTTTGTATCTCTGGTTGTATACAAAGTATATTCACAAAAATTTGTGTTTTCATACATGTTCTTTGGATAAAAATGACCATCACATTCCATCATCATTTCTAACCCCTTGCCCTCTCCCTTTCCCTCCAACCCCTCTGCCCTATCTAGAGTTAAATTCTGAGCTTTTAATGGCAGGAGATATTGGAAAATTTTTGATATATTTATGAAAAATATTTGTAGAATATAGAGGATTTTTTATGGGGCCAAATCCTAAACATGAGTGAAATTTGAAAATAATTGGTTTTGAAGGAATAAGAAACATTTTAAATAATAGCTTAAAAATTATGTGATGTGCTTTGAGAAATACTATAAAGACAATGACATCATTAATTATTTAGTTAATCCTTAGGAACAAGGATTAACTTACAAGTAAGTTAAGAATGTGAACTCTGGAGCCAAACTTCCTGTTTTTTTGTTTTGGTTTTTCACTTACCATTGCCACTTTGGACAAGTTACTTAATATCTCTGTGCCTTAATTTTCTTATCTGTTATTATTATTTATTTATATATGACAGGTATTAATGGAGGGTATTAATCAGGGTATTAATGGAGCCTGATTTCCAAGGTTGTTGGGATGGAGTGAGTTCACACATCAGGTACCTAGAGCAGAATCCAGCATAGTAAGCTCTCTGTGTTTGTTGACAGGGAAGCGGGTACCTCTGATGTTTATTTTCATCCATGTTACAGAGCTTTGCCTTTGTTATACATGTTATTGCCTCTGTTTCATATGTTCCTGCCTCCTTTAAAATTTTTTTAAAATATATATTTTTAGTGGACCTTTATTTTATTTTTAGATGGACCTTTATTTTATTCAATTATTTATATGTGGTGCTGAGATTCAAACCCAGTGCCTCAGACATGCCAGGCAAATACTGTACCACTGAGCCATAACCCCAATTGTATTTTGTATTTTATTTAGAGACAGGGTCTCACTGAGTTGCTTAGCACCTCACCATTGCTGAAGTTGGCTTTGAACTCAAGTTCCTCCTGCCTCAGCCTCCTGAGCCATTTTTCCAGCCTTCTTCATGTCACATTTTGTAAATCCACTGAATTAAAGTGTCTAGGCATTGTGTATCAGTAGCTTGTAATGTAATAAGAGAGGCAACCAAACATCTAATGTCTCTCACTGATTCCTCTGTTATAGAACAAAATGACATTAACATTTATTTTTGTATATAGTAGTGTTTTCTTTTAAGTTGCAAACTTTTGGAGGGAAGAGACTTACTTTATACTATCATGTTTTATAGTTTCTTGATATTAGTTGAGGGACCTAAGCCCTTAAAATTTTAGCTCCATTAACTACACTTAATATGTCATTTTTCAGATTACCTAGTAATATACTATTCAAATTACAACTAAGTGAATTTCCTAGAGCTATCAGTAAAGTACATTCCTTTAYACATAAGGATTTAATTTATTTTTTAACTATTTAGAGTGATAATTTCTTCTTTTTGTTGGGGGGGGGATGCTGGTGGTATTGATAGTACTGGACATCAAACCCAGGGCCTCTTGCATATTAACCAAATACTCTATCATTCAGCTACCACCCCATCCCGGATGCCAGGCATCAAGCCTTTCCCAGCATCTTAAAACAAAATATTGCTTTCTCATTACGCATGCGGTTTTCTGGGTTGTGATGTTTCTGGGTTGTGATGTTTCTGAGTTGTGTACTCATGGAGACTGTTGACCTATGCTTGGTTGCATGGTTTCCTATCACATGTTCTCAGGATGCCTTCTGAAGTTTTTCTTTGCATCTTAGGCTTTATTTTTTTCATGTGGTTATGACCTACTACTTTCTTTTTTCTCTCTAATAACACTAGTTTCCAAATTTCTCTCCTCCCTCCCCGCTTCCTCCCCCCTTCCTCCTCTCCTTCTCCCCTACCCTCTCTTCCTCTCTTTCTCCCTCCCCCCTCTCTTTGGGGGTGCTTAACCATTGAGCCCATCCCCAGCATTTTTATATTATATTTAGAGACAGGGTTTTGCAGAGTTGCTTAGCCTCACTAAGTTGCTGAGGTTGGCTTTGAACTTGCAGTCCTCTTACCTCAGCCTTCTGAGTGGCTGGGATTATAGGTGTGCGCTACCACACTGGCCTGAACTTCAAATTTAGTGTACTTAACTTTCTATGGATTGATTTGATTATTAACACATCAGAACTTTTATACATTAAAGAATATATAAATTATAAACTAAAATTGGGGGTATTTTCTGTGAGCACAGTGAAGATGTTTAACACATAAACTATGTGACACTTACCTGGCTATATCACTTTTAAATTTACTTTATGACATTGCTAAAGTTTTTATATATGTGTGACCTTTAGGCATGTGAGATTTTGTTAGCATCTACAGAAGAATGAAATACTCATCCTTATTATTTTCATCCTGTCAACTGTAAAGAATTGGGATTCAATTCTATATCTCCCCAGTCCAAAGTCCATTTTCATTGCTGCTAGACTTGAAAAAGAAGCTAGCACTGTTAATTATACATTTCTTTAAAATGTTATGATATCAGTTTTGGTTTAAAACTCAGGTTCTTTATCCTTGTACTATTATTGACATTTTCTTCTATCCTAGCTTTTAAAAATTATCCTAATTATGGATTCTTTAAATACCCAATGGTCAACATGTACCTGATAACATTACAAATAACATAGATGTATGCAGTATTTAATAACATACACATTTAAAAGGCTGTATGACTTAAATAACCTGGTTACTATGTTTATTTGAAGTCTTGGATTTGAGAATACTTAAAGCTATGTATAAGAAGAGTGAATACATCTGCTTTTCTTACAGTTGTTAAGATGCAAAATAAAGCGCATGGCTTCAAATGCTACTTAAGCTCCTAGAATCTATTTGTTCAGCACTTCTCAGGGTTTCTGCAAGAATTAAATTAGATGCCATTACCATATTATTATTTCATTTTCATGATTTTTTTCTTCTTGCCCTTTTCCATCTATATCATTTTGAATCTAGGGAAAAAGTATAAGTATAGGAGAATGAAATATATATTATGCAAAAGCAATTGTTACTTTCATATTTGTCTCAAAATGAGTATTTTACTTTTATTGTTTATTTTGATGTGTAGGTCACCTACAATACAACCTTCATTGGATTGAAGTAGAAACATAAGAAGGGAAACATTTTCATTTTAAGGTGAGTCCATTTATAGAAAAATTAGTATATATTTAAAGTAGTCTCTTGTTTCTTGGAAAACTTTTTATTTGCATGTGCTTGGGAAATACTACATTTATCCACAAAATACTGTTCACAGGAGTGCAGGTGAGAGCATGGGGTGAGTTGGGAACTGCCTTTTCCATACTGGCCTTACTGCAGAAGTGCTTTGGTTGTCTTGGCCCTAATTCCTTGACATCTTTGTTAGTGAGTCTGTTTTTAAAATGAGAATGAAAAGGCTGTTTGTTCTGCTTGCCTTCCAGGTTACGTATTATGAGAATAAATTGAAATCACCAATATGAAAGTATTTTATAAAGAAAACATAAGTTAGCTATATTAGTATTATGAACTGTCATAGTAAATTAAATAGAAATTAGCACTTACATGCAAAAAGTCTTTATAAACATGAAAATTTTGCAGGTTATTATAGTCTAGTTCCACTGGGACAGGGCTGTCTTAGGTGTTGTTTCTTAATAAAGTGGTAAATACAAAGAAGAAGAAGAAGATGAGGAAGAGGGAGAAGCAGCAGCAGAAGAAAAAATCCAAATCAGTTGTGTAATTTTGAAAGCATTGTTACTTTTAGAATTACACATTATTTACTAGAAAATATTTGAAGAGAAATTTAATCTATAGATTTTTAAAAATGATCTGTTAAAAACCTGCTTGCATAATTTTCAGTGCTTTTTCATTCCTAACTGTGGAAAAAAAGACTGTTTCTGATTTTTCCCTTCTCTAGTGTTTGAGCCATTCATCTGGACACCTTAATGTATGTGGAATGAAGCTTAGTAAAATGGAAAGGATGCTGGGCATGGCAGTGCATGCCTATAATCCTAGTGATTTAGAAGGCTGAGTTGGGAGGATTTCAAGTCAGAACCTTGGCAATTTAGTAAGACCTTGTCACAAAGTAAGAAATAAAAAGGTTTGGGGATGTAGCTTAGTGGTAGAGTACCCTTGGGTTCAATTCCTAGTACAAACCAATCAACCTAAGAAACAAACAACATCAAAAACAAAAACAAAAGCAACAAACAAAACAAAAACAAAAACCATGAAATGGGTGTTGGGTATTTCTTCTATCTTCATCAATATTTTTGTTTGTTTGGTTTTCTTTTGAACTTCCTTTATTTTTGTTATCGTATTCGTCTTCTACCCACCCACTAAGCCAGTCTGTTTAGGCTGAGGTTTTTTTCATGTATTCTCTTCTAAGGTGCCAGGATACTATTTAGTGAAAGGGTTTCACCCATTGGACCCTATTATCCAATATATAAAAACTGTAGGAGGATGGAATATAATGGGTTAGTGTATTTTTCTCCAGTATCTGTGTTTTGGGAGTAAATACTGGTTAGCTGCTAGTGAAATTATCATTATGTACTAAGCTATTTGGTTATCTTCAATTCTATATGGAAGTCATTACTTTGTAGCCAGATGGTTTGGTTATTTTTTTTTCTAATATTGCAGCTCCTATTTCTGTTTTAATCTGGAAGAGAATGTTACATTTTTCTTATATAGTTTACTTAGTATTATTCTTAGTTGGGGGCGGGGCGAGGTTGTGTTCAGACCTGTAACAGTGACTGACAACATGTACTTTAATCTTTAGAACTAGATCAAATGTTTTCATTTTGTGGCCACTTGGATTTCTAAATTGTTGCTTGGTTGCTTCATCTGATAACTTTTGTGTTCTTATATTGTTGCAAATTAGATACCTTGGTACCTTTAAGAAATGTTTTTTGGAAGTAAATTTTTTGACTTCCTGAAAAAGCAACTCATCAGCCCAGAAAAACAGTTCTAGGGGACATTCACCATTATTTTTATTTATTTATTTATTTAGCTAAATTTAGGTAGTATAGAAAGTAGGAGAAATGTTTGATTTTATAGTATTCATCATCTAATACTTGTGAAATTTTAGTCATGCACCTTTTTAAGCTTCCATCTTCATAGTTGTAGGATGGCATAGTGTTACTTATATATAAAATTGTTAGGCTTAAATGAGAAAGCAAGAGAAGTGCATCCTACAGAACCCAGTTCAAGTGCCCAGGGGATTATGTCATTGCTGAGCTCCCTCCCTTCTCATTATCATCATCCCCCTGATTATGTGGGAAGGCCCTGAAGGGCGCTCTGTACAGATGGCTTGGATCAGAATGGATTCTGGTATTGATAAAGATCTCTTGTTACAGTAGATCAGCTCGAGAAGTTTTAGGTCTTTATAGGTTCTATGATACTTCATTCATATTCATTAAGATGAGAAAGTCCAGGCCTAGAGATGAGTCAGTTCATCTGACTGAGATTACTATGGACTTAGGAAATGGGTTAATTGGTTACTAATGAGCTGCATTTTGGGAAATAGTGTTAAAATATTATGAAATATATACAATTTAATTTTAGATTTACCTCCTGTCAGGAGCTGACAGTTATGTTTAAACCATTTACCTTTGGGGGAAAAAAAGAGTAATTATCAAGTTAAAAGACAAAAATCTGTTCTTTCAGTTTGTGTTTCCTCTTTGTTGGCAAGATAAAAATTTCCACCATAAAATCCGATTTTAAAAACCAGACATATTGGGCTGAGGATGTTTCATGGTGGAACATTTTTCTTAGCATGTGTGATGCCTTGAGTTCAAACTCCAGCAACTCTAAAAAGCAAAACTAAAACAAAAAATTCATACATATATAGTAATTAATTATCCACCTTCCTTTTGCTTAAAACACACACACACACACACACACACACACACACACACACACACATTAATCTTCTTTCATTTCAGAGTATGAGTGTACAAGCCCTAGGGTTAGATAACAGTACACAGAATAGCTTTTGCAGCCAGTTTGAGGGATAATTGAATTTCCTAATGCTTACATGAAAATTAAAAGAAATCTTTTAATGAAAGAATACTGAAAAATATACTTTATCCATTCAGAAAATATGTTACTCTTTGAATCTTTAGTATGGAATTCATGGGAAGTGAAAAATGCCCATATCACTTAAGAACAGCATACTACAGGGACACAGCCACATCAATGTTTATAGCAGCACAATAACTAAACTGTAGAACCAACCTAGATGCCCTTCAATAGATAAAGGGATTTAAAAAAATGTGGCATATATACACAATGGAATATTACTCAGCAATAAAAGAGAATAAAATCATGGCATTTGCAGGTAAATGGATGGAGTTAGAGAAGATAATGCTAAGTGAAATTAGCCAATCCCAAAAAAAAACAAATGCTGAATGTTTTCTTTGATATAAGGAGGCTGTTTCATAATGGGGTTGGGAGGGAGAGCATGGCAGGAATAGATGAACTCTAAATAGGGCAGAGGGGTGGGAGGGGAATGGAGTGGGTATGGGGTTAGAAATGATGGTGGAATGTGATGATCATTATTATCCAAAGTACATGTATGAAGACATGAATTGGTGTGAATATACTTTGTATACAACCAGAGATGAAAAATTGCGCTCTAGATGTGTAATAAGAATTGTAAAGCATTCCGCTGTCATATATAAATACAAATTTTAAAAAAAGAAAAGTCCCCATATTAGTGAAATGTTTTTAATGATGGAAAACTGAAAGTTTCACATCCTGAATTTAACTCTTCCAAATTCTTTGAAAAGAAAATAGTTATTTCAATTTACAAGGGTTCTGTTTTGGGGGTTTGGTTTATAAACACAGCTAAAAAATCTGTGAAATAGTTTTCTGGAACATTTTGATTATTCTAGCCAAGATAGGTTAGTTTCCATGTCACATAAGGACAAGCCTTCACGTTCCTGTAATATATTTTGTTGATTTTATTTTTTGTCTGAGATTCATTTCTGAAATGACTAAATGGAATATTTTAAGTGTCATAAGGAAGGATATTATTACTCAGTTCATTTTTTAAAGCAACATTCAATACCTAATAGATCTTTTGGTCTGTTGGAGATTTTCTTATTATATATAGATAAAGGAGGTCATGCAGTTTGTTTTAGGTATAGGGGAGGGGATAAAGCGGGGTATAAAGGATAAGGGAAACTGTATTATAGCTTGAATACATGGTTAATATGGGGAATATATTATGGAACTAACAAGAAATGAAGTATTAATGAGTAGCAGCCAGGAACCAGAGGGTGCTGATGTAAAGGTGTGTCTGATTGCCAAGTCTGTAATTCTCTTTAGTGACACAGGAAGCAAATATAGAGAAGAAGGAGTTGTAATATGCTAGAGCATAGGTAAGGTTCTTGCCTTCGAAGTGTTCATAGTTTTGTTTACAAATTAGAATAGCATTATCGAATTTAAAGCCCTTCAAATTTTAAGCTGCTCCAAGCTAAGAGTCGTCTAATTTCAGTGTAACTTGTTGAATTTTTATTTTTCAAATTGTCTTAAAGTACCTAGCATCATGCTTGTAATATATTCTGAAATACAGGTTAAATTAAACTGGTAGAATGAAATCAAGTGCCAAAAGAAAAAAAGTGTTGCTTTTATTTTCCTCATAGGGTGAAGAGCAGAAATTTTAGAGTTACCAAGATCTGAATTTGAAAGTTAAGTTAGGCGACCTCAGGCAAGTGCTCAGCTTTCTGAGCTTTTATTTCCTCAGTTTATTTATCTCATAAGGTTGTGAAATGGATAAATGACAATGTGTATGCATTATGAAAGTATTAAATGATAACTATTGTTAGTATGATTAACAATAGAAAACAACAGCCGAGATGACCAGAAAATCTTTAATTATCTCATGAATACACCACAATATTAAAGATGGGCTTTTACTTTAAAAATCTAACATATGTTAGCTTATACATTCTTTTGTATTCAGAGTAAAGCCACAAAGCATAAACACTGGATGGAATGTGTAAACAGCAAAATAAAAATAACAGTGCTGGCTGGGAAGTGTGTTCCACCATTTGCTGTTGCTTTGTGAATAACACCCTGTAAGACTCTTTTGTAGTGAGAAGCAGATTGCACTTCAATGCATCAGGACCCAGTATGGATAAAGGGCACTGCTGTAGTTTCTT